CAGAAGGAGCTCGAAAGTACCCACAACAAAAGTGCATGAAAGGTGACTCTGGCATGATGGTGGACTAGGCAGACACACAACATGGACTCTCTACAACGAAGATATGAGAGACAAAATAAAACAGACACAGATGAAAATTCTGGCACCCTGACTTCAGAAGAAAGGTTAGAGAGACCGATGGAGTACTTTCTGGGAGGAGAGGTTGAGCAGGTATGGCAAGAGGGAGACTAGTGAAGAGCTGGCCAGGTGTGGCTCCACCATCTTGTGAGCAGCTCTGACAGCAGAAGGGGATCTGGCAGAGCAGATTCACGCGGGTGACAGAAAAGGTGTGATTTATTCTTTTTTCCCATGTTCCCCTGGTGACCAGAAGTGTGGCCAGCTCCCACTCTCATCCACCCCCAGTGCAAACTATGCTCTCCAGAGTTCAGAGTCATGTGGTTAGGAACCATTCCTGCATGAGTTAAGAGCCAGCTGTGCAACGTTCGTGTACCACTTTGGTGCCTAGATTCAGGTGTGTTCCATTCCAGAGCTACAAAATCTACAGAACCATCAGACCAGCATTTAACCAGTCACCCTGCCCCAGCTGTCCTAATAGACACTGAAACCAACTCCATCAAGGGCCCCACAAACTACTTCTGGATTGAGTACCCTGACCACAGATAACACCAAGGCCAATAGGAACTCCACCTAGGGCTAGGAACTCTGCTGACATCCCTTCCACAACCACTTCATGAGCTCCTTGAATTTCAGGAGCCCCCCCAGAGATTTCTCCACTCTGGACCCAACAACTACACTGTTTTGTTTTTACAAATACGACAACACTGCAATGCCCCAGAGACAACAGAAAAGTGTAGCTCACATGAAGAAACAAGAGAGAATGGCTCAAACAAATGACCAAGACACAGAGCCAAAAGACATTACTGAGGAAGAAAAGGTAATAGAACTAACTAAAAAAATATTCAAAAGAATGAAAATTATGTACCTTCAAAGGATTGATAGAAAGATCGAGGAAAACAAGCAGAATACAATAAAAAGCTTTACACAAATTCAGGGAAAGACTACAAAAACAGACAAAACAACTGCAAATTTTGAAACAATACAAAACCTGCTATTAGAGATCCAGAAGATGAATTCTAAGATCTCAGAAATGGACAATACATTGAAAGAGCAAAGGAGTAAATGGGAAGCAATGGAAGCCCAAATTAGTGAGCTTGACGATAAATCTCTCAATACTAGTATGCTAGGAGAGCAATCTAGGAGAGAAAAAAGAATGACAAAATCTGAAGAAAGAGTTATGTGGAATAACACGAAGAGAAGCAACTTACAGGACAGAAAGAGATAAGCACAGAGAAAATTGTCAAAGAGTTACTGGAAGGAAAGTTCCCTAACATCATGAAAGACAAAAAGATAAGCATACAAGAAGCTGAATGAACTCCAAACAGAATAGATCCAGAAAGCAAACCACCATGACATATCATAATCAAACTTTCCAGAATCAACAACAAGGAAAGAATCCTGAGAGCAGTTTGGGGAAAATGATGTTACATACAAAGGAGAATCAATAAGACTGAGCTCTGATTTCTCAGCAGAAACCATACAGGCAAGAAGGCAATGGGATGACATATACAAAATTCTGAAATAAAAAGATTGCCAACCAAGAATCCTATACCCAGCAAAGCTGTCCCTCAAATACTATGGCAAATTAGGATGTTTCCTGATAAACAGAAATTAAAGGAATAATAATGACCAGGCCAACCTTACAAAATGCTAAAGGATGGTCTTTGGTCTGAGAACCAACAACAGAAGGCAACAATCTGAGATTTCCATACATGCACCACCAACTAGAACTCAATCCAAATATAGAAGGATTTAAAGTAAAAAAACCTACAAGACTGAAAATAGAGAACCAGAGATGTCAATGTATAATGAAGTCAACTACAAAGCAAAAAGAGGGAATAGTATAGATGCAAAACTTCCAAATGGCAAGGAAGTCAAGTAGATTTCAAAATAAAACTGTTTTAAGAAGGGAAAGAAATTAATAAATTACAGGCTAACCTCAAAGAAACATAATACACTGCACATCTTTTTTTTTTTTTTACAAAAAGAGGAAAATCAGAAATATTTAGTAAACTTTTATTGTTATTGTTATTGTTAAGTGCCATCAAGTTGGGTCCATCTCATATGGACCCTGTATAAGGTTTCTAAGGAGCGGCTGATGAATATGAACCACCAACCTTGAAGTTCAAACCAACCTTGAAATCCAGTGCATATTCCATGGTGCCACACCAGGACTCGTAACACACAGAAATGAAAATGATAAGAAAACCCACAAACAAAATGAACTCAGCATAGAAAATTATGTGGAACAAAGAATCCAGCAGCACCACACACAAGCAGAAAAATGACAACAATCAATTCATACCTATTGATAATTACAATGAATATAAATGCATTAAGCATACCAGTCAAGAAACATAAAAAACAGAATGGTTAAGAAAACAGGATCCTTCAATATGCTATCTACATGTTGTTTCTTGTTGTTAAGTACCATGGAGTCGGTTCCGACTCATAGTGACCCTGCACAAGGTTTCCAAGGCTGTAAATCTTTATGGGAGCAAAAAGCCTCATCATACTGTCTACATGAGACACATCAAATAGATGGAGACAGCCTAAATGCCCATTAACAGAAGAATGGTTAAACAAACTTTGGTACACATATACAATGGAATACTACAAAAACATTGAAGAAAGAATGATGAATCTGTGAAACACTTCACAACATGGTTGAACCTGAAGGACATTACGCTGAATGAAATTGTTGTTGTTGTTAGGTGTTGTTGAATCAGTACCTTATGCCCACAGAATGAAACAATGTCCGGCTCTGCAACAATTTCATAATCATTCATCATTGTGACACTTGAACCCATTGCTACTGTCCCTGGTTTTAGAGGCAATTGTTTATTTCACATTGGTTTTACCACACACACAAAAAGTAAATAAAAGAACAACCAAATATATAATTTAAGATTTGGTGGCGGTAAGGGATCATAGATTTAGTTGTGTCCCCCCAGAGTAGGTGCCACCTTGGCTGGGTCCTGATTCCCAGTGGTTTGGCAGTTGTGTGATGTGGCCATGATGTGATGATTCCCCATGATGTCATCTGATGTGATACACCAATCAGAGAGCTAAGGTGGGCAGCAATGCCCTTAATCCCATCACAACCCTGATCTAATGTGAAGAAATTTGCCAGGCATGTGACCTCCAACAACTTTTATCTTATTTTACAGGAATCATAAGATATGCACTAGAACTCAAAGCAGTTTAAACCACAAGGTTGGTGGTTCAAATTCACCAGTCACTCCTCAGAAACCCTACACAGGGTCCCTATAAGTCAGGCCTGATTCAATGACACTTAGCAACAACAACAACAGTAGATAAAAGGAGACAGAAGTGGGCAACGAATTACCTACTATCACCAAAAAGGAAGAGCCAGGAATGGGGTACATCCTGTGGACCTGAGATCCATCCCTGCACTGTGAAGCTCCAAGATCCCAGGGAAAATTGATGCCAAGACACAGAGAATTGCCAAGGAATGTTGGACCCATAGATGCTGAAAGGAGACCAGGACCTTTCTCCAGCGCTGACCAAAAAAGAAAATGTTCCCCTAGAGCCTGCACTCTGAAGTGTGAGAATACGTTTCTGCTTGTTAAAGCCATCCACTTGCAGTTTTTCTCTTATTATCTTATTATCTGTTATCTTATTACAGGTAACAGAGAAATGAGGGCTGTAATGAACATATCACAGAGTGAGAGAACAGGGACAGGTGGAAGGAGGTGCTACTGTTAAAGGGTCTCTGACATGTCACAATAAATTTATGCAAAGACTTCAGGAGATGTAGGAGACAGCCATATTAATGTTCTGCAATTTGATCTTTATTTTGTGGTGCTGCAGAATGATGCTCTGGATTGCAAGGTCGGTTTGAACCACCTTGGCTGGCAGTTCAAACTCACCAGGCACTTCTCGGAAGTCCTATGGAGGGCCGCTATGAGTTGGAACCAACTTGATGGCACTTAACAACAACAACACTAACTTATATGGAAGTTTTGATTTATGTTTTAAAAGAAGGTCTGTATTCTCTTTTCCAGTTTGTATACAACTTTCTCAATATCCTTCCTTTCTCTTCTATTTTCAGGAGCATGATAATTGCATTGGATCAATTTCTTCATTCACTAGAATGTTCCAACTTGTGTATGTTTCTGATGGTCCATTCGATTGTAATTGGGTTTTTTTTAATCACTCTTTCCAAAAACTTCATCAATTTTTACTGACTCTTTTTCTTTAGCATTTCTAACTCATTCTTTCCAGTCCCCAAATTAAATTCCTTTTTTAAAAAAATGATTTATTTTATTTTGTTATTGTTGTTGAAAATATATACAGCAAAACATACACCAATTGAACAGCTTTTACATGTACAATTCATTGACATTGATTACATTCTTCAAGTTGTACAAGCATTCTCATGCTCCTTTTCTTAGTTGTTCTTGCCTCAATAACATTAACTCACTGCCCCATAAGGTTTCTACTCATCTTTCAAGTTGCTGCTATCAATTTGATCCCACGTAGAAAGATCTTAAAAGAGCAGAATGCTCTATTCCATCTTCTATCTTTGTAGCTACAATATCTCCCATAAAGCCTTGCCATATTTTTTAAATTACTTTTGTAGACTAAATAAATGTATGGATTCAAAACTCATTTCGGTATTTGCAACTCTTATTCAGATAAAAAATTATAGAACTACTCACTCCCAAGTACACACATACACACACCCCTAAGCACACTACTTCATTCATTCTGTTTTAGATACAAGGTACATTAACAGTTCAGTGCTTTACTACAAACCAACTGTAAACACAATGGCTTTGTTTACAACAGACAAGTGCACAAAATTCCTCAAAACTGAAGAGACATTGCCATAGAAAAGGATATGGTTTGTACTTGAACTATTTTATCTCCTTTATTTTGATTGGATGGGATTTAAAAATCTTCATGGCCAGTCTTTACTGTGGTCAGACCATATGATTTTCCAGCTCTGTGTTTATACCGTCTGTGCATGTAGATTCCTCCCAACACCAAGAGGACCAGCGAGAGCGGAGCCAGAACAATTCTCCAGGAGAAGGTGGAGGCTGTGGGGAGAAGAGAGTCAGGTCAGGGGCACAATCTCTCACTGCCATAGTGGGAAGTGAGGCAGGTTTACAGGGAAAACGAAAGGAAGATTTGTTTGGTCTTCCTGATGAATGTAGGTTGATTTTCATAAAGTATGTCATTTACGCCAGGATCAGAGCGATTTAACAAAGATGCCTGTGGGTTTTGAGAAACACAATCCATCAGAAAAAGAGACCACAGAGGCGGAAGGAAGTCCCCAAGGCTATAACCCTGTTCCCCCCAGTTGGAAAATGGCATTCCTAAATACCATACTTAGGCCTCAGTTCTCAGTCTGTGCTCAACCATGGCCAGGCCAGCGAATGACAGGTAGGACTCAGGTTATGAAGATTTTACAGGCTCCCAGAGTCTGCGCCAGACAAAGCACAGCGCTCCTGTGGGCACTGGTCTGAATCCCTGTGGTTGGATCCTGCATGTTCCATGGCCACCAAGCCTGTCATGGGCGATTCTGAAACACCATCTTCTACATATCTGTCCTAGGTATCAATGGTTCTCAACTTTTAAAATGACAGGAAGCTTGCTAAATTGCCTTTGGCCCAAACTCAGGAGACTTTGACCCAGTAAACCTGGGTGAACCAGAGATTTGTATTGTTAACTTAGTGGTTCCGGTGAGTCTGTTGTCCACAAACTGTATTGTAAAAATGCTGGATTGGGTTGTCATTCTCTACCCTAACATCTTGACCAAATCACCAGCTTTCTGATTTAAGGTATGTCTACAGTTGTCTCCCCTACTACAAAATATAAAGTTGTGGAGCGATTTGAGGTTATGTGATCATTGCCGATTACTCAGAGGCATAAGTGAGATTCCAGCTGGGGATCATTTTGACTTTTCTGTTCTCTGTTGACAGAAATGAAATTAATTTCTTTCCCTGTCCTGCTCAATACTTGCACATCTAGAAAAATCAATTTGATCAAAAATGAGCATTTGAATTTTTCTTTTCTTCTGTCTTTACATTCCTTAAATGGGCATTGGGTTGTTTTAGCTGTAGATCACGGTATTTCCTTTTGGTAAAGGATTTTCACCCTAAAGCCTCCCTGAACTCAAGATCTCTTCCAGTCCCCCACCCACTCTTGGAAGTTAATGATTCTCAACTTCAGGGTGAAGAAAGCTTCTTTCTACTCTAGAGGCTATTCAAGGACAGCTGAGTCTGGTGGTCCTTACTGTGGTCCAGGGCAGAACTCATTGTGGACATAAAAGTATATAAAACTTTATCACTGAGCAATTTTATCTTTATTTTTAAAAAATTAGTTTGCTATTAATATTTTTCATTTGAGTAAAACCTTCCAGGACCAGTTTCCACCTTTTCATAAATATCTTAAAGAATCGAAGGTGGTCTTTTGATTACAGGACATACAAAAAACCTTCTAAGAAATCATTCATAGAACATTAAACATGTAATTTTCTACTTTAGTGTCCCCCAATACTTACCTTCTTTGACCATGGTATGTAGTGTCTGAAAACTCATTCTATTAGTGACAGTGCATTCAAAGTCTGTGTTCAAATCCTCTCTTATGACTGGATCAAAAACCAATGGCACTTCAACGTAGTTCTCGTTATTTTCTGAATATTCCCTGAATGAGAGAAAATTTACTTGCATGTTTGTCTTAAACTTAGACTTCCAAACATTTTCAGTGAGCAGCATCCGTTGACCAGAAGAACACAATGGTACCTGGCTACCACTACCAACTGTTCTGATCACAGCCACAATAGACCCTAATAGAATAAAAGAAAAACACTGAACAAACTTGACATCTTAACAAGTCCAGACTTACTAGACATTGAGACTAGAAGACTCTGTGAGACTACTGCTCCGACACACTCTTTTACCCTTGAGAAGAAAACCTGAGGCTGTCTTTTAGTGATCTAACAGATTGGCACACAAAATAAAGGAATTTACCCATGAGTATGGTGTTTCATTGGAGTCCTGGTGTGGCACTGTAGAATAAGCAGTGGACTGCAAGGTTGGTTTGAACCTCAAGATCAATGGTTCAAACTCACAGTCACTCCTCGGAAACCCTATAAAGGGTCCCTATGAGTCAAAACTGACTCGACAGCACTTAATAACATGGTGTTCCACTAAGGAAACCATCTAATGAGACCGAAGGTCAATAATTACTCTCAAGTAAAGATGAGAAGATAAAGGGGAAGGGAAGCTAGAACACTGAAAATGGAACAACCAGAACACAATGAAAGAGAACATGTTGACACATAGCAAAAAAAATGCAACAAGTGTCACTGAACAATCTGTATAGAAATTGTCCAATAGGAACCTAATTTGCTGTGTAAACTTTCACTGAAAGCACAATAAAATATTATTTTTTAAAAAGAAGAAGCAAAAAAAAAGAAGAAGAAGAAGAAGCCTTTGTGCTTAATTAACTTGATTTCAAGAGTCATCAAGTTGGGAGAAAATACCATTATGATGTTGTTGTTAAGTGCAATTCTGCTGGTTCTGACTCATAGTCACCCTGCATAGGGTTTCCAAGGAGCAGCTGGTGGGTTTGAACCTCCAGCCTTGCAGTTATAGTTCAGTACTTGTCTTACAGCGCCACACCAGGACTTCAAATCCCATTAGGATAATTTTTAAGCCTGACTTAAAGGCAAAAATGTCATAGATCTGGTTATTATAATAGGAGACTTGTTACAGTGAGAACTTGTTTGGATAATGGAAATTTTCTTTCTCAAGGCCTTTGATAAACAGCCAAATTAGAACCTGTGGTGGGAATAGAAATGTCTGACTTTTGGGAAACAGCTATATACCAAAAAAATCATTTGCATATTTAAGGTTAGGGAGTTTCCAGAACTCCACTCTTCAACAACCCTCTTTTCCTTACCATTGCTGTTTCTCATTCTGAAAACTCAGCTTCTGATAGGTCTGCAGAAAGGCCAGGGGAATGAGACTAGTCAGAGTAATTAACATTCATAATGTTATAAAATTTTGAAGGCATGTACACTTCCCTACTATTTTTGTGTGCCATTGCATTGGTTTCAACTCATAGCAACCCTGTGTAGGGAGCCTCTAAATCACTAGAAGGACCTGTCCTTGGAAAAGAACATCATGCTTGATAAAGTAGAGGGTCAGAGAAAAAGAGGAAGACCTCCCCCCCCCCCCCCAGAGATGGATTGGCACAGTGGAAGCAGCAATGGGCTCAAGCATAGCAATGATTGTGAGGTTGGCACAGAACCGGACAATGTTTCGTTCTGTTACACAAAAGGTCACTATGAGTTCGTACCTACTCAATGGCACCTAACAGCAACAACAAATCTCTATGGGAACAGAAAGCCTCATCTTTCTCCTGGGGAGCAGCAGGTAGATTTGAACCGCTGACCCTGTGATTAACAGCCTAGTAGCACAAAACCAACTATGCCACCAAGGTTCCCTTCCTACTATTAGTATAAATTTAAAAAGAATCTTATTGTAGATCCACTAAGGACATTTGTGTTTTATCTGTGGGAACAACATGATCTTCTAAGTAAATGAAGAGAATGAGTAAGCTGACAGGAGGTATGTGAATTATGGTCAAATCTTTCACAACAAATGTGCAAGCAAACAACTGTGGTAGACACACATAATTTCTATGTAATAAGTTGCATCCACACAGACATTTATAAAGTCATGACCAGCAGTAAAAGAACATGTGAATTCAAAGCATTCAGACTGAATTTAAAAATTACTGAATAATTCAGAATGTTTAACGTCTCCCCTCCTCAGACCCAAACGATTCCTACTTACGAGGTCTCATTGTTCTAGTTGCAGAGTGAAAAAAACAGTTTCTGAAAATGAATGCTTATGAGACTAAAATTCTTTCTTTAAATACCAACCCTCCTTAGAGTCTGAGGCACCCCCAGTTCCCAGAAGCAGAGAAGGTAGTACAGATACTGTAGTTGGTCCCAGAGACTTCTTAAGGATTTATAAAAATGTTTGAGACTCAGGTTGCAGTGCGGGGGATGGCAATGCATTAGCTTCAAAATACCGGAAGCGAATTGTAAAAAACAAGCAACTGCACACTTACAAAATGCAACATCAATGTTGTTTTTGTTGTGTGCCGTGGAGTCGGTTCCGACTCTTAGAGACCCTGTACAGGGTTTCCGAGGCTGTAAATCTTTAGGGAGCAGAAAGCCTCATCTTTTTCCCACGGAACAGCTGGTAGCAACATCAATATCAGCCAGTTAATTATAACTCATCTCCTATATGTTAATAACCTATGCATAACATTTGTTTCACAAGAACAAGCTTCTAGATTTTAGAAATCCATAACTGTAGAATTCAAAATATTATTTTTGATGCAGTTTGTGTGCTACGGTGCCCTGATGTGGGTTAATGTGCTGGACTGCACTGTCGGTTTCAACTGCAAAGTCGGCAGTTCAAGTTCACCAGCTGTTGCTCAGAAACCCTACACGGGGTCTCTATGAATCGGAACCAACTCAACAGCACCTAAAAACAACAAGTGTGCTATATTTGTAAGTTCGATATGGCATTGTCTCCAAAAGGAAGAGTGGGGTCTACAAAGGTCTTTAAACAGTTCTGTCCAGAAAATTGTAAAATTACATAGAAGAAGAGCCCACTTACTTCTCCGGTCCCTCAGTCACTCGGCCACTTGGGTAGGCACTGTCTATCGTAGTGCCATTGGCTGTCCACCACACAACAGAGATTGATTTGGTGCCGATTCCCAGGAACACCTTACATGGGATTGTCAGTCTTGATCCTGTATACAGCAAGACACATGCATAAACCATCAAAGCCAGCACAGAAAGGGAGCGCCCTATGTTCACCAGCAAACCTGAGCTGTGGACTCTTCCTCCTCCTGGGGACCTAGCCCTCACCTGTCAATTCTTTCCTTACAAGGAAATGCAGTCTCCTCAAACAATTCCAATCAGAGCTTTAATATTTTTACAGAGCTCTCCAGTTCCATCAACTGGTCTGATGGTAGAGAAAACCTGAGGACATGCAAAGTGTCCTGAAGGACACTGGTCTCATGCATGGTATTCTGAGGTCAATGGCTGCCTTCCTCCACATTTTAGTTACCTCAAAAATCCTAATTAATGCCTGGATTCCTGCTTTCTTAACATTGCTAGTGTCAACTCTAAATTTTTCTCAGTTGTTGTTGTTAAGTGCCACTGTCAGTTCTGACTCATAGTGACTCTGTATAGGGTTTCCAAGAGCAGATAGTGGGTTTGTGCTGCAGTTAACATCCCAGTGCTTACCCTACTGCACCACGTCTAGATTCTTTGTTCTTACTATTGCTTATTCCAGGAGTCCTTGTGCAATAGGATAAGCATTGGACTGCTAACAATTTAAACCTACCAGCTGCTCCTTGGAAACCCTGTACAGGGTTCTCTATGAGTTGAAATCGACTGGGCAACACTTAACAAGACTGCTAGTACCAACTCTAAATTTTGCCCCGAGGTACACCAAAAAATAAAAACAAAGGAAATTCCCCTTCTCAGATGGTTCTCATACAGTTGTTGCTGTTAAGTGCCATCGAGTCAATTCCAACCCATAGGGACCCTGTATAGAGTTTCCAAGGAGCAATTAGTGAGCTTGAACTGCCGATCTTGTGGTTTAAACTGAAATTACAGTCCAGGAGTCCCTTTCATACAGTTGTTGTTAAGGGCCATCGAGTTGGTTCTGATTCATAGCAACCCTGTATAGGGTTTCCGAGGTTGAACCTTGAAGTTGAGTTTGAACCGCCAATCTTAAGGTTCAAACCAATTTTGCAGTCCAGCACATTAACCCACAGCACCACACCAGGTTACAACAGTCACCCTTTTAAAAGCCACTGTGTTAGAAATGAAGGGTGTCCTCTGCAGTTGTGGCACTGAATCCTCAGCTCCAATCCCTGTAAGGGACTTTTCTTTCTAAATCACCAAAGGGAAAGTGAGAGGAAATCAGCGCGCATACTTTGCACTCTTTCCTTCTTCATGGGTAATGTTTCTCCCTGTGGAATAGTTTTTAAAGAACTTGGCACAAGCAGACCAATCTGGAGTGGCTAGAAGAACAGGAGATACTTCTTGAAGAAAGACCTACAGGAAAAATATAAAACAACATAGGCAGACTGACTGTTACTACAAGAACAAGCAACTTGCCTGCCCAGGAAACATCAAGGCAAGTGATTGGGTCCCCTCAGTACAAACTCCCTTCCAAGACTAAGACTCAATGGGAATACACGCTGTGATTGGTGACCACGCTCGACAATGATAAGAGGAAGTGAGGGAAAAACAGCAATTAAGTGGTGAGCTAAGCCCTACAACGTTCAATAGACTTCTGTGAACCGGGGTGAAGACCTGGTTGGCCAGCAGTGTGGCAAGACCTGGGGACTCTTGGGCCCAGAGTCACTGACATAGCCACAGAGGACTAGAGTGGAAAGTGAAGCATCCAGCTGATAAGAGAGGGCATATGCATAAGAACACCCACACTTGCAGATAATACCCACTTATCCTGGCTTCAGTGACTGCATGATCAGAGCTCAACCAGAAGTAAAAAGAAGAGGAAAAAAAAAAAAAAAGTATTCTCATACAATTTGATGAACTTGACCTACACCTTTGGAAGCAGTAGCTCAAAAGAGGGAACAAGTCCTTACAACAAGAATCATTCCCACCCCCTCCACACACAGAGTAGACAGGGATGGGCAACTTGGACATTGGCTACCCAAAATGGGGGTTGTTGTTGTTGTTGTTAAGTGCCGTCGAGTCGGTTCCGACCCATAGCGACCCTGTACAGAGTTTCCGAGGGTGTAAATCTTTACGGGAGTAGAAAGCCTCATCTTTCTCCCACGGAGCAGCTGGTAGTTTCGAACCGCTGACCTTAAGGTTCGCAGCCCGATTCGTAACCACTACGCTACCAGAGGGTTACAAAGGCAAGAAGTGACTGGCTTACAAGCTTTCAAGAGGGAACCTAGATCCAGAGGGCCTGGAGGAAGGTAGAATCTCCAGTGAGTAGTATTCAATCTGACTAGGCGGAGCTGATGCAATGAAATGCAGATGGGTCTCTTGTGATACAATAGTGAATAATTGTTATCAGCACTGATTATGAGGGTCGGAAATGTAAAGGTAGATGGTTTATAGCAAGAAGGGGAGTGATTAACTTTTCAGTCTAGGAGCGGAGGTCCCTAGGACCATCAAGGGAGAAGAGCAGAGTGCGGGACCCTACCCAGAGAAGCAGTGATGCCTGAAATGGAGGCAGAGATGATGACGTGGAGTGATGGAGCAGCTGGAGACTTTAGATCCAGAGAGGGAGAGCGAGTGTGTGCCGAAGACCTAGGGGGTACGGGGGAAGGATTGCATGGAGGGGATTGTAACCATGGCAATGAGACGATATAAGATAGAATGAATGTAAAACTAATGTTCTCCCATGTAAACTATCACATAATTCACAATAAAACATTAAAAAAAAAAAAATCAAACAAAAGAACTTGGCACCATTTCAGGTACAGAATGCCAGGTCTTCTCCCTTGTTCAACACCCTTAAGAGCTCAAACATTTTCCTCAGGTAAGAGCAATCAATTAAATCAGAGATCACATGACTGCTGCGTATATCGACTTGCTAAAAGCAACTAAGTGAGAAACTTCTAGGCTCTTATCAGTGTGAACACCAACATCCAAACTAAAACCAAATCCAGTGTTACCTAGTCAGTTCCAACTCATAGTGACCCACTATAGGTTTCTGAGGCTGTAAATCTTTATGGCTACAGAAAGCCTCATCTTTCTGGTGGGTTTGAACTGCCAACCATGCAGTTAGAAGTTCATGGCTCAACTTACAGCACCACCAGGACTCCTTGATCTCCCAAAATATACACCAAACAACACACCCTGGCATCTGTGAGTGACCCTGAGGCACTCTGAGTCAGTGAGCAGATGACAGCAGTGGGAAGAAGTCTGGTGTGGTAGCAACACTGCTTCTCCCACCGTATCTGCCCCTCTCCCTTCTGGCGCTGAGCAGGTCTTCAGCTGCCATGAACTACTTGCACACAGGGAGAGGCCTGGACTTCAGGTTATGAAATGAACAAGGCAGATTTCCCTGGGGTCCTTTCAGGTGAGCCTGCCCCTTCCCTTGCCAGTGAGGTAGAAGTTGGATTGTGCTTGCCTAGAACTCCAGAACTGAGAGAGTGAGCCTTCACCAAACCCAAATGGAAGTAACCTCAAGTAAGAGCAGAGGGCAGCACCCAGCCCTGCTGGGGATTCGTTCAGTATGGACGTTGGACTGAAAGTGTGGTCCCAGACAGCAGCTCACACAGAACTGGAGCAGAAGTGATAAGCAAAGAAAGAAGACTGCACACCTGGCAGACTGTCTCTGTTTGGTTTAGCCATGCCCCCTGGTGGACAGAACTATCCATGCAGTCTCTCTGCTCTTTTTCATTCACTCAGTGCCATGGAATCAAATTTGACTCCAGCAAAAAACGGGTGGTGAGAAGAATAGCCGTTCTGCTAACAGCGAAGTGGTGAACAGAGAGGACACCATCAACATTCACAAGCGCATCCAGGGAGTAGACGTCAAGAAGGGTGCCCCTCGAGCACTCAAGGAGATTCGGCAATTGGCCATAAAGGAGATGGGAACACCAGACATACGCATTGACACCAGGTTCAACAAAGCTGTCTGGGCCAAAGGAATCAGGCACGTCCTTTATCATATCTGGGTGCGGTTGTCCAGAAATCGTAATGAGGACGAAAATTCACCAAACAGGCTCTATACACTGGTGACCTATGTGCCGGTGGTCGCTTTCAAAAATCTACAGACAGTCAATGTGGAGGAAAACTAACAATTAATGATCAAATAAATTTATAAATCTGCAAAAAATAAAAAATAACAAGACAAGTCAAAACCAAGAAAAGAAAAGAAATGATCCTCATAGATAATCTAGATAAAATTTAAAACTTCCTAGAGACACATAAACTTACACTGGCTCAAGAATAAATGAAAGACACAACTCAGAATAACTTAAAACAAAGATCAAACTTACAGGTTGGATGGAGACTGGTGTAACCATCAGGCCTAGAAATGAACTCACCCCTTTAGCTCAAATTTCAGCCAAACAACAGACAAGACTAATAGAATGCATCCTTAGCACAATCAACCAGTTGAGATCAAAGAGGCAGCATTTGCCCAAGGGCAAAATTCAGAAGACAGGAATGGGGTTTAGGCAAAAAGCAAGAACGGGAAACAGAACACACAGGGCAGAAGTAGGATAAGTGAAATCTCGTTATGGGAATTTTAATCCATGTGTGAATTGTTGAATTGAAAACTGATTCACTCTATAAACCTTCACCCCATTCACAAGAAAAAGTTCCTTAAAAAAAAAAAAAATGAAGAAGGAACGTAAGATCTCAACAGGTCTATAACAAGTGAAGAAATTAAATCATTCATCAAAAATCTCCCTACCAGATTTAAACAAATGTACATTTTTGGTTTGTTTTATGTACATTAAAAAAAAAAAAAAGGAAATATATGTAAATACTGTTAGCAGATGATGCGTGGCAGGTATTGTAATCATTGTAATGAAACAAAATATGATTTGTTGAGTGTAAAACTGATGATTTGCCCTGTAAACTATCACTCTATTCACAGTAAAAGGTTGCATATACATCCATCCCCACAAAAAGACCTGGACCAAATGGTTTCACTGGAGAATTCTATCAAATATTTACAAAAGTGACCTCAATCCTTGTTAAACTTTGCCAAAAAAGTGGAGGAGGAGGGAACACATCTTAC